CTGGGAGGGAGCACTGGGGGCACTGGGATGGGGCACTGGGAGCACTGGGAGGGGCACTGGGAGGGGGAGGGGCACTGGGATGGGCACTGGGATCACTGGGAGGGGGAGGGGTTCCCATCCCAAGGCGCCGTTCGGAGCGGACGGATCCGTTTTTATTTCTCCATCCGAAATCCGGGAATTCCCAACATTCCAAGGGAACCCCGGGGGATCCCGGCCGGAGCCTCCGGGGTCAAAGGTCAGGGGTCGGGGCAGTCCTGGGCCGACATTCCCGGGAATTCCGGGAATTCCGGGAATTCCGGCCTGTGCCCAACCCCCACCTCGCCGGGAGCCTCCCGGGAATTCACGGAAATAAATACAGGGAATAAATCCCGAAAATCCCGGGAATTCCGATAGCGATTTGGTGGGAAAACAAAACAAAACAAAACAAAACAAAAAAAAAAAGCGGCGGATTTCTGGAATTTTGGCGGGAAAAGAACGGAATTTTCCGGGGCTCGAGGGAGGATTTTTTTTTTTTTCCAAAGTCCTGGAATTTTTTTGGGGAATTTTTCTTCGGGAAAAAGGCGGGAAATTCGGATTTTTGATTTGGAAACTCCCCCAAAAAAATGGGAAAAAAAAAAAAAATACGGAATTCTGAATCCGGTTGGGAAAAAAACCTCCGGAATTCAGGCGGGAACGGCGAGAATCCCAAAAAATCCTTGGGAAAGGAGGGGGGGAAATTCCCGGATTCCGCCACGGGAGCGATCCCAAACTTCTTCCCTCGGGAAAGGCTCCGAGTCCAGCGGGAATTCCGGGAATTCCGGAGGGGAAATCCCGGGATTCAGGTTTCCACCACTCGGATCAGGGGCAGCGGCTTCGGGCCCGGGAGGCGTTTGCTGGGGAAAAAAACGGGATAAAAAAAATGTGGGAAAGGGTTTTTTGGGAATTCTGGGATTCCCAAAAATTCCCTGGAGGAGGATTTGGGATCGGCCGGAGAGGCGGGAAAATGAGGGGGGGGTTGGGTTATTCCCAAATGTGGAGGAGGAGCCCGAAATTCCCAAAGTTGGGTCATAAATCCCATGGGAATCCCAAAATCCAAGGAAAATCCCCAAATCAGGAAGAGATCCTGGAATTCCTGACCCGGATCCCGACATTCCCGATCCAAATCACAACCCAAATCCTGGAATTCCAAACCCAAATCCTGGAATTCCTGACCCCAATCCCAGAATTCCTGACCCCAATCCCAGAATTCCTGACCCCAATCCCAGAATTCTGAACCCAAATCCTGGAATTCCCGACCCCAATCCCAGAATTCCAAACCCAAATCCTGGAATTCCCGACCCCAATCCTGGAATTCCTGACCCCAATCCCAGAATTCCAAACCCAAATCCTGGAATTCCCAACCCAAATCCCAACCCGAATCCTGGAATTCTTGACCCAAATCCCGACATTCCCGACCCAATCCCAACTCAATCCTGACCCCAATCCTGGAATTCCTGACCAAAATCCCGGGATTCCTGACCCCAATCCTGACCCAAATCCCGACATTCCCGATCCAAATCACAACCCAAATCCTGGAATTCCTGACCCCAATCCTGGAATTCCCGACCCAAATCCCGACATTCCCGACCCAAATCCCGACCCAAATCCTGGAATTCCTGACCCAAATCCCAACATTCCCAACCCAAATCCTGGCATTCCCGATCCCGGAATTCCCGATCCCGACATTCCCGATCCTGGCATTCCCGATCCCGACATTCCCGATCGATCCCGTCATTCCCAATCCCAACATTCCCAATCCCGTCATTCCCAATCAATCCCGGCATTCCCAATCAATCCCGGCATTCCCGATCGATCCCGACATTCCCGATCCCGGAATTCCCGGTCGATCCTGACATTCCCAATCCCGGCATTCCCAGTCGATCCCGACATTCCCGATCCCGACATTCCCGGTCGATCCTGGCATTCCCGATCCCGACATTCCCGATCCCGGAATTCCCGGTTGATCCCGGAATTCCCAGTCGATCCTGACATTCCCGATCGATCCCAGCATTCCCGATCGATCCCAGCATTCCCGATCGATCCCGGCATTCCCAATTGATCCCGACATTCCCAATCCCGGCATTCCCAGTCGATCCCAGCATTCCCAGTCGATCCTGACTTTCCCGATCGATCCTGGCATTCCCCAATCCCGACATTCCCGATCGATCCCGAAATTCCCAATCCCGACATTCCCAATCAATCCCGGCATTCCCAATACCGACATTCCCGATCCCGACATTCCCGATCAATCCCGACATTCCCGATCAATCCCGACATTCCCAATCAATCCCGGCATTCCCGATCAATCTCGGAATTCCCAGTCGATCCCGGCATTCCCGGTGGATCCCGGCATTCCCGGTGGATCCCGGACCTGCTGACGTATTCGGATCTGGAGCGTGTCCGGGCGCCGCTCCCGGCCCGGCTCACTTGTTTCTCGATCAGGTGCTCGATCCGGTCGTGCATCTCCAAATTCTGGGAATAAAAACCGGGAATTTGGGATCCGGGATTTTCCAACCCCCCGGGAGAGGCCTTGGGGTGCTCGGAATGGGAATTTTTTTTGGGGATTTGGGGAATTCCGGAGGGATTTGGGAGGGGTTTTCCGGGGGAAAAATGAGATTTGGGAGTTTTCCTCTTGCGAAATTCCCGAATTTCGCTTTTGGATTGGGAATTTCCCGGGGATTTCCTAAATCCGGTGGGAATTTCCTGGCTCAGGTGGGAATTTGGGGAATTTGGGGAATTTTGGGGTTTTTTTCCGGATTTTTTTGGGGTGTTTTGGGGTCTTTTCAGGTCCTGATTCCGTCCCTTTTCCCACCTTTTCCTCCATTCCCAGTTTTCCAACCACCCCCACCAACCCAATCCCGGAATTCCCGACCCAATCCCGACATTCCTGATCCGGATTCCGATATTCCTGACCCAATCCCGGAATTCCTGACCCCAATCCCGGAATTCCCGACCCAAATCCTGCAATTCCTGACCCAAATCCCGGAATTCCTGACCCAATTCTGCCATTCCCGACCCCAATCCAGACATTCCCGACCCAAATCCCGGAATTCCCAACCCAATCCCAACATTCTCGATCCAATCCCAGAATTCCCAACCCATTCCCAACCCAATCCCGCCATTCCCAACCCAATCCCGCCATTCCCAACCCAATCCGGACATTCCCGACCCAATCCCGGAATTCCCGACCCAAATCCCGACATTCCTGACCCAATCCTGACATTCCAGACCCCAATCCCGACATTCCCGACCCAAATCCCGACATTCCCGACCCAATCCCGGAATTCCCGACCCAAATCCCGACATTCCCAACCCAATCCCAGAATTCCCGACCCAATCCCGACATTCCCAACCCAATCCCACCATTCCCAACCCAATCCCAGAATTCCCGACCCAAATCCCGACATTCCCGACCCCAATCCCAACATTCCCGACCCAATCCCGGATCCGATCCCGCGGAATTCCGGCCCCACCTCCGCTTCCAGGTAGGAAACTCTTTCCTTCAGCTCCTGGATCGCCGCGTCCTTGGCCTGGATCACGCTCTTGGAATTCTGCAGCTGCAATCCCAAAATTCCCAAAAGTTTGGGAATTCACGGATTTTTCCCGGATTTTTTTTTCCCCCCTTGGTTTTTCCCAGATTTTTCCCAAATTTTTTCCCTGGTTTTTCCCGGATTTTTCCCCGATTTTTTCCTCTTTTTTCCTGGATTTTTCCCAGATTTTTCCCTCTTTTTTTTCCCAGATTTTTCCCTCTTTTTTTCCCAGATCTTTCCCTCTTTTTTTCCCAGATTTTTCCCTCTTTTTTTCCCAGATTTTTCCCTCTTATTTTTCCCAGATTTTTCCCTCTTTTTTCCCCAGATTTTTCCCAGATTTTCCCCAGATTTTCCCCAGATTTTTCCCATATATTTCTCATATTTTCCCAGATTTTCCCCAGATTTTTCCCAGATTTTTCCTGGATTTTCCCAGATTTTCCCCAGATTTTTCCCATATTTTTCCCAGATTTTTCCCAGATTTTTCCCAGATTTTTCCCGTATTTTTCCCGGATTTTCCCAGATTTTCCCATATATTTCTCATATTTTCCCCAGATTTTCCCCAGATTTTCCCCAGATTTTTCCTGGATTTTTCCCAGATTTTTCCCATATATTTCTCATATTTTCCCAGATTTCCCCATATTTTCCCCATATTTTCCCCAGATTTTTCCCAGATTTTTCCCAGATTTACCCCAGATTTTCCCCCAATTTTTCCCATATTTTTCCTGGGATTTTTCCTATATTTTTCCCAGGATTTTCCCAGGATTTTCCCAGATTTTTCCCATATTTTCCCAGATTTTCCCCAGATTCTCTCCATATTTTTCCCAGATTTTCCCAGATTTTTCCCATATTTCCCCATACTTTCCCCAGATTTTCCCCATATTCTCCCCATATTTTTCCTGGATTTTTCCCAGGATTTTCCCAGGATTTTCCCATATTTTTCCCGGATTTTTCCCGGTTTTTTCCCGGATTTTCCCCCTCACCTGCTCGATCATCTGGCGCACTTTTCTCTGCTGACTCTTCAGCATGTCGTCCAGGTGATGGATTTTCTCCCGGAGCGTCGCCACCTCCTTTTCCAGCTGCGATGAACTGGGAAAAAAATCAGGAAAAAATCACCGGGAACGGCCTCCAAAAAAATCTGGGAATTCCCACATCAAAAAATCCCCAAAAAATCCGGAATTCCCGCTCCGAAAAACAGCCGGGAATTGTCGCGTCCGAGAAAAAAATGGGAATTCTGAGATGAAAAACTGGGATTGTTCACACCCTAAAAAATCGGGAATGGCCACGCCAAGAAAACTCTGGAATTCCCATTGAAAAAAATCATTGGGAATGCTCATCCTGGAAAAAAATCTGGGAATGTTCATCCCAAAAAACTGGGAATGTTCATCCCAAAAAACCTGGGAATGTTCATCCCAAAAACCTGGGAATGTTCATCCCAAAAACCTGGGAATGTTCATCCCAAAAAACCTGGGAATGTCCAATTCAAACAAAATTCTGGGATAAGGGGAAAAAGTCGGGATTTTGGGAATGAGTCGGGGCTAGAGGGGTTTGGCATTCCCGGGATTCTCCCATTCCCGGAATTCCCATTCCCAGAATTCCCTTTTTCCCGGGATTCCCATTCCTGGGATTCCCCCATTCCCAGAATTCCCATTCCCAGAATTCCCTTTTTCCCGGGATTCCCATTCCTGGGATTCCCCCATTCCCGGAATTCCCATTCCCAGAATTCCCTTTTTCCCGGGATTCCCATTCCTGGGATTCCCGCATTTTTCCCAACATTCCCATTTTTCCTAGAATTCCCATTTTTCCCAGAATTCCCATTTTCCCCGGGATTCCCATTTTTCCCAGGATTCCCATTTCCCCCACCATTCCCATTTTTCCAGAATTCCCATTTTCCCCAGCATTCCCATTTTTCCCAGCATTCCCATTTCCCCCACCATTCCCATTTTTCCCCAGCATTCCCATTTCCCCCAGCATTCCCATTTTCCCCCGACATTCCCATTTTTCCCAGCATTCCCATTTTCCCCCAGCATTCCCATTTCCCCCAGCATTCCCATTTTCCCCCGACATTCCCATTTTCCCCAGAATTCCCATTTTTCCCAGCATTCCCGTTTTTCCCAGCATTCCCATTTCCCCCAGCATTCCCATTTTCCCAGCATTCCCATTTTTCCCAGAATTCCCATTTTCCCCAGCATTCCCATTTTTCCCAGCATTCCCATTTTCCCCAGCATTCCCATTTTTCCCAGCATTCCCATTTTCCCCAGCATTCCCATTTTTCCCAACATTCCCATTTTCCCAGAATTCCCATTTTCCCCGGGATTCCCTTTTCCCCAGCATTCCCATTTTCCCCAGAATTCCCATTTTCCCAGCATTCCCATTTTCCCCAGGATTCCCATTTTTCCCAGCATTCCCATTTCCCCCACCATTCCCATTTTCCCAGCATTCCCATTTTCCCCAGAATTCCCATTTTCCCAGAATTCCCATTTTTCCCAGAATTCCCATTTTCCCAGAATTCCCATTTTCCCAGAATTCCCATTTTTCCCAGAATTCCCATTTTCCCCAGCATTCCCATTTTCCCTGCATCCCCATTTTTCCCAGCATTCCCATTTTCCCTGCATCCCCATTTTCCCCAGGATTCCCGTTTTTCCCGGCATCCCCATTTTCCCCAGGATTCCCATTTTTCCCGGCATTCCCGTTTTCCCCAGCATTCCCGTTTTTCCCGGCATCCCCGTTTTCCCCAGCATTCCCGTTTTTCCCGGCATTCCCGTTT